CCCATGCATTGTGTGGACAGTGGCGGCCCCTCTCATCCCACACGCCCTACCATCAAATGTATGCCATTTGAGCGCTATTTTCAAACTAAACTAATCAATCAAATCAGTAAATTGTGGTTTAATTATACGCTAATCAACGTTTTACTCAACATTATATCAAAACATATAAATTATTACACATTTTGTATGAGTTATAAAAAGTAAAAACAAGTAAAATACTAACAATAATAAACGATATAATTTATGATTACCGTAATAACAAAACTATTTACTTTAATCCGTATAGTGTTTAATGAATGTTTGCTTTATTTATACCCAGTTTTTCACTTAACTGGTCATCAATTAAAACCCCATTTCGTGACAATTGAGAAATAATCTCTTGATTGGAGTTATTATTTTCCACGATATTTCTGATGGCAAATATAGACCATTGCATGATATATGGGTTCTTGGCGTCAATATTACAACAATCGAGTATAACAGGAATGCCATCAAATTCTCGCACCCAGTCCTGCATCTGAGGGCACTTATAGACCAGATTTCCGATCACTCGGATTAAGTCCCGTTTGAAGCCAAACACTGGGTTTTGGGACTCACTATCGGTTTCATTGATTTGTTTCAATTGTGGGATTGACTTGAAATGAGACGAGTCTTGAGATTTGGACAACAATTGAATTGTCTTCAGAGTGTCGACCAAACACTCAACCAATTGTCTGTCTGTTTGGAACCGACACAACAGACTCTCATTTGCTGTTAATTCACACAAAATAGACAATAGTTTGGAGACATGAATGGCATTCGAGACGTTGTTTTCTTCAGACTGTTTGTCATCCGTTTGGGAATCAATGGCGAAGACATCGGAAATGTTTTGTTTGAAGAGTCGACACAAATAGTGGACATTCGTGTCGTTCACTTCAATAGTCTTCATATCTTTTTCATCAGTAATCAACTCATAGATTATGTCCAAAATGATAAGTTTTTGTTTGCTTTGAAATCTACTGTAAAAAGCATTGAAAAAGTTCTTAAACTTGAGGAACAGTTGTAAAGACCAGAGACACCACTCAGACGATGAGCTCTCAATTTGATCCAATAGTAACTCACAAATGGTTAACATTTTCTCCAAGTCTTCGCTTTTATTGGTTTCAAACAAATTGTTTTCAATATAACTATTATTACGAATACATGAGTAGAATATCATACTTGAGATCAATACCACACTCTTGTCGTCTTCCAAGTCGAGCAAATATCTGCAAAAATATAAACAATTAGTAAAACTCAAGCATTTAATTGTCATTCATATGCAATACCGGAACAAATCAAATGCAAATAAAGTCCACATTTGATGCCTTAATTGTGACAACTCTTGGATTGTCTCATCCAAACCACTCAACAGATTGGCGAAGAACTGGAGGCAACATTTAATCGCTTCAATTAAAGCCTCTTTGGGAACAAAGTCTTCGTTATCATCAACTTTTTGGGCACTTTTATGGCAATCGATTAACTCATTAAAGATATAAATAGAGTCCTCAAGAATGGATCCATTGGTGACAATCAATAGCTTATTTGGCAGACAATTCACTAATGAATTCCTCAGAAGTCTGAAAACATGACTCAATGTCTGACATAAGGTGTGATCAACACGAGGGCTACTGTCTTGTGGTGTCAAGTGATGGCGAATCCGTGTCAACACAAGTGAGACAATACGCCAATTGTCTCGAGTTTGGCTCAAATGGTGACGATTTGCCTCTTCTTTGAGAGCAATAGTGATGGCCTCTAAATGTACGTCAAGTGATGACAAGTGGTCTAAATTATCTTCAATGAGTCTAAACTTGTTGTCCAACACATCCATGTCTTGAGTTGTGGTAGAGTTGAGTGAAGTTGTATTGACTGTCAGTCTGTGGACTACACGTGAATGCGTTTGTGTTGTAGTGTTGGCTACAGTTCACTGCAAACAGAGGGCACTATTGTCTCAAACAATCACCAGATTCTGGTCACAGAATCGCCAATTCTTTGCACAAACTTTTCATTTATTTTATACTTATTTATATCTAAAATAGTACATTCAGAATATGTACTTGATACAACGATAGTTTTTCATTGATTTATGCATCATTAACTTAATTAAAATTGTGAGCGAGATATCAAAAATGAATAAATTGTTTGAGACTATGAAATCACAATTCAAACGAGAATTGATTGGAAAACAAAGTTTTATCATTGAATTGAAACAAACATGTTTTATCACATCCATTATTTGTTAATATTATCTGCATTTGTGTCCAATGTTTACAGTCAAGAGACAAGTGATAAGACATCGACTACTGAGGCGACCGTAAAGAATGAGACACCGGGTGAAGGATCCCTGGCCTCTAGCCCTGCGTTCAACACAACGACAACCACTCCACCAATAGGGTCGTCTTGGATGAAGTGGATAATTATTAGCCTTATTATCATCATCATAGTTGTCATCATCAAAGCGATCATATGCTACTTTTGCTGCTGTGATTAAGGTGTGAAAGGTCTGTCCACTTACCCTATCATTCAGTAGACATACAGCTTAATTAATATCTTATAATATTTTTAAAGTCCTTTGTGTGGACTTATAGCTCACTCCTACCAAAAAACTACTTTTTAAAAATTATTTATATTATTTTCTTGTTTTGTATATTTTTAATGATTTCTTTGCGATTAAAATTATAATTTAAATTCATGTGCACTTATAAACTATTTATTTATTTATACGAAAGTCTTTTGACTTAAACCATAGAAAATGGAAACAGGAATTGTAGTTAAAGTTTAATACTAATAAAGTTTATGGCAGAAAACAAATGTAATATAATGTTAAGTAATATTTAATTGCATAATCAATAAAGAGTGGGTTTGAAATGCAATGCAATCCTATTATTATATTTATAAACAATAGTAATGCTCTGGTAATTTTGTAACCAAATAGGTAAGTAATTTAGTGTAAAATAACTATTATAATTCAGAAATAAGTTTATATGCAGATTTGTTTTCCAAACTTGTTCTAAAATGGTAAATTTATTTCCAATAATAAGTTCATAAATCACTTTTGCCAGACATTTCATGCGATTTAATTCAAAAAAGTGAGGCAAATGTTTCTTATAATAGAAATTAAGATAACAAATATTGTGAACCAAATGAAAGTTCTTATATTTGAAACAATATATGAGAAACAATAATAATAATAATAATAATCTAATGTCTGCATTTGATGTTAGATTATATTTAATCAATTTTTGCCTTATAATATACACATTTAAACAATTCTTATATTAATTTATATTATGTACTCAACAAACATAGAGTTTCTGAAAAAATTATTATATGTGTGTTTATAAGTAATAAGTCTTTGACCCTTTATATTGTTTTACTTGTTAGTAGGATAATAACTTGATTGTGTCAAACAAATTGTAAATTGAATATGTAACTAGTTTAAAATTTTCAATATAAATAATTCTATTACTTATATTTTCATCAAGTATATCAATTCTACAAAACTCGTATAGTTCTTTCTAATTATTTTACTGTAAAAAATTATTTATAAAATTAAATTCAAAAATATATATTTAATGTTCAAGTGAATTCATAGAAATAATATATTTGAATGCATTTTATTTGACAGTATAAAAGGCTAAATCTATATTTTAAATAATAAAATGTTTACTCAAAACCCGTTTATATTAGCTGAATAAAATATATGTACTGTATACTATACAGTGTATAGATGTTTGTAATATAAAGTCAATATTTTGATAACAAATTTAACACAGAATTCACTTTGTATGAATATTTGTTTTTTCAATACTATCCCAAAAATTCTTAATTTACTTATAATATAAAATATTGTATAATATAAGCTAAATATGTGTTAAGGAGGGTATATTAAGTTGATTTGTCTCTAATATATAGATCTATAGAGTCTGTATGAAACTACTCTTTTTCTGAGCTTTTAGGTTTATAACCAATTACTGTTTATTTTTATAATTAAATAGAAAATCAGAGCACTTTATATTTAAATTTCACTTATGTAACTTCACAACAATTTAGTTTCTATAAATTACACTCTAAATTGTATTAAATCTATTGGTTATATATAGTATATTAATTCATTAAAATAAGACACTATTTTCCACCATATTTTAGACAAATAACGAATTGATTGACAGATGAGTAAACATTATAAATATTATTTTACTATAAGTTATATTTACACAAATTATTTTGAATTTTTATCGAAAAAAACTTTTATTTTTATATTGTATTCTGCATTATGATTTATTATAATTTTAAAAATATTCAATAAAATCTCGATATTTTACAAAAATTTGTTTGAAATTATTGATTTAAAAATTGTATTCTTAAATATAAATTTGGAGCCACACATCACAAATCTTTATCCATAATAACAGAATATTATAGTGAAAAAAGATAAATAATGTTCACAATTTCTACTCAAAACTAAAATATAATATATATTTTTCGCTGACTTTTTATCATTTGTATCGCATTTGTGAACCGCAAGCGAATGGGTTGAGTCGGGTATTGAAGTCTATTCGACAATATGAGTGCAACTATTGATCCGATGTATTGGTGCAGACATTGAGAGACATTCACTTTATTTCTTTATTAAAAAGTTCAGACATTGAGATAAAAAAGACCAGCAAATAAATTCCTCACACAAAACGCTTAGCCTTTCAGCCAATATATTGTATACCTTAATATCCAATACGAATAAAAAACATTATATTTTCAATAATATTATAGATATCAATANTATTGATTATGCAATTAAATATTACTTAACATTATATTACATTTGTTTTCTGCCATAAACTTTATTAGTATTAAACTTTAACTACAATTCCTGTTTCCATTTTCTATGGTTTAAGTCAAAAGACTTTCGTATAAATAAATAAATAGTTTATAAGTGCACATGAATTTAAATTATAATTTTAATCGCAAAGAAATCATTAAAAATATACAAAACAAGAAAATAATATAAATAATTTTTAAAAAGTAGTTTTTTGGTAGGAGTGAGCTATAAGTCCACACAAAGGACTTTAAAAATATTATAAGATATTAATTAAGCTGTATGTCTACTGAATGATAGGGTAAGTGGACAGACCTTTCACACCTTAATCACAGCAGCAAAAGTAGCATATGATCGCTTTGATGATGACAACTATGATGATGATAATAAGGCTAATAATTATCCACTTCATCCAAGACGACCCTATTGGTGGAGTGGTTGTCGTTGTGTTGAACGCAGGGCTAGAGGCCAGGGATCCTTCACCCGGTGTCTCATTCTTTACGGTCGCCTCAGTAGTCGATGTCTTATCACTTGTCTCTTGACTGTAAACATTGGACACAAATGCAGATAATATTAACAAATAATGGATGTGATAAAACATGTTTGTTTCAATTCAATGATAAAACTTTGTTTTCCAATCAATTCTCGTTTGAATTGTGATTTCATAGTCTCAAACAATTTATTCATTTTTGATATCTCGCTCACAATTTTAATTAAGTTAATGATGCATAAATCAATGAAAAACTATCGTTGTATCAAGTACATATTCTGAATGTACTATTTTAGATATAAATAAGTATAAAATAAATGAAAAGTTTGTGCAAAGAATTGGCGATTCTGTGACCAGAATCTGGTGATTGTTTGAGACAATAGTGCCCTCTGTTTGCAGTGAACTGTAGCCAACACTACAACACAAACGCATTCACGTGTAGTCCACAGACTGACAGTCAATACAACTTCACTCAACTCTACCACAACTCAAGACATGGATGTGTTGGACAACAAGTTTAGACTCATTGAAGATAATTTAGACCACTTGTCATCACTTGACGTACATTTAGAGGCCATCACTATTGCTCTCAAAGAAGAGGCAAATCGTCACCATTTGAGCCAAACTCGAGACAATTGGCGTATTGTCTCACTTGTGTTGACACGGATTCGCCATCACTTGACACCACAAGACAGTAGCCCTCGTGTTGATCACACCTTATGTCAGACATTGAGTCATGTTTTCAGACTTCTGAGGAATTCATTAGTGAATTGTCTGCCAAATAAGCTATTGATTGTCACCAATGGATCCATTCTTGAGGACTCTATTTATATCTTTAATGAGTTAATCGATTGCCATAAAAGTGCCCAAAAAGTTGATGATAACGAAGACTTTGTTCCCAAAGAGGCTTTAATTGAAGCGATTAAATGTTGCCTTCAGTTCTTCGCCAATCTGTTGAGTGGTTTGGATGAGACAATCCAAGAGTTGTCACAATTAAGGCATCAAATGTGGACTTTATTTGCATTTGATTTGTTCCGGTATTGCATATGAATGACAATCAAATGCTTGAGTTTTAGTAATTGTTTATATTTTTGCAGATATTTGCTGGACTTGGAAGACGACAAGAGTGTGGTATTGATCTCGAGTATGATATTCTACTCATGTATTCGTAATAATAGTTATATTGAAAACAATTTGTTTGAAACCAATCAAAGCGAAGACTTGGAGAAAATGTTAACCATTTGTCAGTTACTATTGGATCAAATTGAGAGCTCTGAGTCTGAGTGGTGTCTCTGGTCTTTACAACTGTTCCTCAAGTTTAAGAACTTTTTGAATGCTTTTTACAGTAGATTTCAAAGCAAACAAAAACTTATAATTTTGGACATAATCTATGAGTTGATTACTGATGAAAAAGATATGAAGACTATTGAAGTGAATGACACGAATGTCCGCTATTTGTGTCAACTCTTCAAACAAAACATTTCCGATGTCTTCGCCATTGATTCCCAAACGGATGACAAACAGTCTGAAGAAAACAACATCTCGAATGCCACTCATGTCTCCAAACTATTGTCTATTTTGTGTGAATTAACAGCAAATGAGAGTCTTTTGTGTCGGTTCCAAACAGACAGACAATTGGTTAAGTGTTTGGTCGACACTCTGAAGACAATTCAATTGTTGTCCAAATCTCAAGACTCGTCTCATTTCAAGTCAATACCACAATTGAAACAAATCAATGAAACCGATAGTGAGTCCCAAAACCCAGTGTTTGGCTTCAAACGGGACTTAATCCGAGTGATCGGGAATCTGGTCTATAAGTGCCCTCAGATGCAGGACTGGTTGCGAGAATTTGATGGCATTCCTGTTATACTCGATTGTTGTAATATTGACGCCAAAAACCCATATATCATGCAATGGTCTATATTTGCCATCAGAAATATCGTGGAAAATAATAACTCCAATCAAGAGATTATTTCTCAATTGTCACGAAATGGGGTTTTAATTGATGACCAGTTAAGTCACAAACTGGGTATAAATAAAGCAAACATTCATTAAACACTATACGGATTAAAGTAAATAGTTTTGTTATTACGGTAATCATAATTTATATCGTTTATTATTGTTAGTATTTTACTTGTTTTTACTTTTTATAACTCATACAAAATGTGTAATAATTGATATGTTTTGATATAATGTTGAGTAAAACGTTGATTATCATATAATTAAACCACAATTTACTGATTTGATTGATTAGTTTAGTTTGAAAATAGCGCTCAAATGGCATACATTTGATGGTAGGGCGTGTGGGATGAGAGGGGCCGCCACTGTCCACACAATGCATGGGTTGAGCCAAACACGTGACCACTGATGTCATCAGCGATTCATTTGTTGACAAATATTTGAATACAATTTCTTTGATCCAATCTTTTGTTGATTTCAACACTTATTTGCATTCAAATCAATGACTAATTCGTAGCACAAGTCACTGAGAAGTGGTTTCCAGTGAACTATAGGTCACACAAAGCCATGGCTTTCAGGAAATTAATGCGATTTCTTGTGTTTAATAATAATTACAAACCATTTGTTTGTTTCAAAGTTTGTCTCCTATTACTCGTTATATTATTTATATATCTGTTTGTATTCAACGATCATAAGTTGGTTGTCAAACACCATCAGTCGCACCAATTGATCCACTGGTCCACCACTACAGCGGCCAATCACCAACTCATCCCACCTGATGGTCACGAGAGTCCACACAAACTCACTATCAGTGAAGACGTTCAAGATATTGGTCTCAATAGTAATGATAAGTCAGTCAAAAGCACAGCTGATCTCAATGTGATGGACACAGACGTGGATGCAAACGATGATCTCATTGATGATAGCAGTCATCGCGTGAATAACTCATCGGTTCTTAGGTATGATTTAGTCGTTCAAAGAGTGGTTCCGATGAGTGACTGTTTGTATGTATGGATAGGTTTGGAGGGTATGACAGACAGACGATGAAGATTGTGATCACTGTCTGCGGGAACCAAACGCTGAGACAAAGTCTAATAACACTGAAATCGGCGGTACTTATGACCAAAAGTCGACTTCATTTGATTGTTATGACCGATGAATACAACCGAAGAATCATTAGTCGAGCCGTGAGTTTGTTTTGAAGATACTGTCAAACAGTTGTCACCATTTGATGTGATTATTAAAGATATTGAATGAATGGCCAAACGATGTGTTGAGTCGGATATCATATGAGATCCATTTGGTGTCGTTTCCCAATACCATGAATGCCGAGGAATGGAAGAAATTGTTTAAATTATGTGCCGCTCAGAGACTCTTTCTTCCGGTACTGACACACCAGTGATGACCACTTGTTATCACCAGTGATCACCACTTGTTATCCATTCATTGCTTATATTCATGTCTATTCTTAAGGATATTCTAAAAGACATCGATTCCGTGCTATACGTCGATACAGACGTGTTATTCCTGACACCAGTCGACCAAATCTGGAGTGTTTTCGATCGCATGAATGGCTCACAAATGGCCGCAATGTCTCCCGAGAGCGAAGACTTTGCCAGCAGTTGGTACTACCGGTTCGCCAAACACCCGTACGTCGAGAGACTGGGCATCAACTCCGGTGTAATGCTTATGAACTTAACCCGAATGCGAGACTTCCATTGGACTGACTATTTGGAGCCCTATTTGTCTCAATACCGACTGAGTATCGTTTGGGGCGATCAGGACATCATTAACATTATCTTCCACTACAATACCGGTCCGTATCGTCTGTTTTATCAGTCTTTCGCAGCAAATCATTAATAATTGATTTGATTTGCAGACAAATTGTATTTATTTGGGTGCCATTGGAACTACAGACCCGATCACTGCATATATACCCGGGTTTGCAAAGAGGCCGAGAGAGAAGGCGTTCATATACTTCATGGCAATCGCGGAGTCTTTCAAAGCGAGAAACAGCCCGCCTTTCGGGCCATATATGAGGCGTTCCGGGATTTTGAGTTCGGGACTGATTTGTCGGTCCTTTTGAATACAATGAAGACATCACTGGAGAAGACAACGAATACTAATTGCGGAAAAGCCAGCCATAGCTTTACGTTGGCTTTGGAGACATATCTGAACAACAATTAAGAGAAACTATTTTATAAATTGTCGCACAAAGAGATTATGTGAATATTTTATTGTGACTTATTTTTGATATACTCAATTTGACCTCAATTTACAATTTACATAAATTTTATTCTATATTTGTTTACAATAATGCATTTGTTAATGAAATCACACATACTGTACGATATATCATTTACTTTTTATTAGAATATATCAATTAAAATTATGAGATGTTAAAATATTAACCCTTATTTCATGCGTTTGAATACATGTGCATAATTTAGTGAGTTTACTGAAATGAATATTACAGCAATGATTTTGATGTCAACCATAACACGACTAGAACTAAAAATAGTGAACCATTTGAAAGTATTGGAAAATAATTGTCAGAAATGTCTGCTCTGTTACTCAATTTATGATTGAATTCTTGTCCAAAATCGCTAGACATGTAGTGTAGTGGTTGTGACAAGTGGTACACGAGAAAGTGAGAGACTGGGAGTGGGAGAGTGAGAGAGAGTGGGAGAGAGAGAGAGAGAGAGAGAGAGAGAGAGAGCTGCAGAATGTGAACTGATTGGCAGCGAGATTTGGTCGCTATGTTCGTGACTCTGACGCTCGTTATCGGATAAACTCTGAGAACAATATAATAAAAGATTCGTACAGTTACCTGTCTTACTCTGACAGTCAGTCTTGCATTTCATGTCTCATTCCTATCTCTAACACAACACACAATCACTTCATCTGATTTCATGTGAAGCAGAGTTTGTGGAGTTAGCGATGCATTAATCGATACGAAACGGCAATACATTTAAAACTAGTCTTTAGTCTGACCGACAAAAAGCACTTCTTATGTCTAATACACTATTTTGAGTGTCGAGTCGATGGTGTACTCAACGCTATGTTCTCAATGCTCGACTCAATTGTTAATATCACTTGCATTTGTTTGAATCCTAATCTACAGAATCCCCTCATAATCCAGCAGATTTTGCAAATAAAACAAAATTCATACATTTATAGCTATAATTTACAAAAAGCACTTATTTGTGAGCTATTATTAAATAAAGGTGAAATTATACCATTAGATTGTGAATATTCCTGACATGTTATACGATAGAAATGTTTGCAATGTTTTACAACTCGTATCTGAACTTCGATTGATAGGCTCTGACCCGAAATGGACTCAAAGTATATAAACTATAATCTCTACTGTTTTAAGGACAGCTGCATTGGTTCGCATCCAAACCCATCCAAACCCCACACAACACATGTATATCAGTGATAGATCTGCAGATTGTTTGCATCCAATCAGTTGAATGGTTTGTCAAACACTATCACAACTGCCAAACACTCAATAAGGCTTTACTCTAATTTGAATTTTCTCATTGATTGTCGAAACAAAAATTGAACATGCTACATTATCAGTGAATTAATACGAAAACATCGGAACAAATTTCATTAAATAATTTGTTTTAAACAATAAATTTAAGAAAGGATATTTAAAATTGAAAACTAAAAGCAAAAATATGCTAAAAATGTGATCTAATGTCCAAAATATTATAGTTTTGCATAATAGAAGTGAATTGTTTGACAATAAGTAACTATAAATCAATTCTAACGGTTAGAATCAGTAATAAATATAAATCTTTTGTATGTTTAAAAAAAGGTTTCGGATCTTTCTGGCAGTGCTTGCAATCCATTTACTCGTCTGTCAAACAATAACACAATTCTTACTCTTTTTTTGTGCTCCCATTCCATAACCAATCATTCAATTCAAATGCTATTCTTTTCATTCCTGTAGTATGCTATTACCAGAATTATTGCTCTCTCACTCTCTCTCTCTCTCTCTCTCTCTCTCTCTCTCTTTCTTTCTTTCTTTCTTTCTCTCTCCGATTCTCTCGTCGATTCTCTCATGAATTGTAGTTTAATTTATGCGGAATTTTTATATACAACACATAATAGAAAATCCGAAAACAGCATTTATTACACATAAGAATAATATGGTTTGGAAGCGACACATATTTTAACTCCTTTAAAACTGAACTGTACTATATTTCTCTAAAATAGGCTATTTCCTCACAATTTTGGCTTAAATCCAATTTCAAACATAAAAATACATTTAATATCTAATACTCTTTAGTACTACTCAGTATTTAAAAATCATTATCATTATTATGACCACTTTAAACAATCCCTGATTCAAACATTTTTATGTGTACGTTATAACTTATGCTCCCATAGAGTATTACATAAGCTCCCAATCAATGGCAAAACTTATGCAAAACCAAAGATTTATTGTTGAATTGAAATATGTTGAGCAAAAATAACTTTTAATGTCATAAATGTCTCCCCAAACACATATGCAGCTCCATTTGGATGACAATTCTTAATGTAAAATACAATTACAAACAATAAATATTAAAAGTTTTATGATTTGCATTGTGTAATTCATTTTTGTTGTGCATTCAAATTAATGCAACATAAATGTCATATTTTTAGAAAATATAAGTTATGACAAATTCTTTCTTAAATTATAAGTTTTGAAAACAGAGTTTACAATCGATTTAAATGTTTTTAATGTTTTTGTTGACGTTTATTACTTAATGAGAAAATAATTTATGCTTAAATAAAAGTTCACAAACATAGACATTATGCTATCATTATTTAATACATCCTTTTAAAAATGCTAATAGTTTTAACTTTCAACAAATCAAAAAGGATTAAAGCATTAATCCAAACGACATTAAAATAATTGCAATTATCATATTTAAAAAGATTTACAGAATATGGCGATTAATCTACAAAATATATCTATTTTAATACACTAACATTAATGGTTAAACATTACTTTAAAAGCTAAATTTATATGTTTACGCTTTTAATGACACCTAATGTTATATTAACTTTTAGAAATTTAAAATTTTTATTTTTCATTATACAAAATCAAAATGTTTGACCCAGAATTGAGACTCATTAAACGAATCAATCTTGTACATGGTTCAGTTTAATGAGAGTAAAATAAACAATTTCAATTAAACTAATTAAATTTTCAGACCAAACATTTTGATTATAATTTTAAAAATTGAAATATATTTTAAACTTAAATTTAATTACTATTTTGAATTCCTGAGAGTTTTACAGCAAAATTTATGAAAGTGTGTAATACAGTATGATTTGCATAATTAAGTATTAATGGTTTGGACACTAAAACACTCGAGATTAGAGGCAATTATTGTAAATTTGTAGAGCAGTTCATTAACATTAATTGCAATTTATATCACTCTTCAAAATTTGCTTACAAATTATAATGCCATTCATATATCAATAGTTATCTTATTTGTCAACTAATTTGTATATACAATATTTTACGCGTTTATTATCATTTTAATTAAACAAAAATACAAATTTTGGAAATTTTGCGCTAAAATACTATTTTAATTAATCACTAAATGTTTAATTACAGTTATATTAAGTTTTTATAAGTGTAATAAAAATGCATAATAATTGTTATGTTTAAAAAGAAAAGCAATTAATTTGCTATTAAAAGGAAATCTAGTGGTGGACAGGGAGGCAGTAGATGTGTGTATGGTTAAGAGGGCAAACAATATTATTTTAGTTCATTAATATTGTTTTACTACTTTTTTGTCATTTGTTGTGCAGATTAGGTAAGATTAGAGTGCGTGAGATCGACCTAATAGTCGACTCAGTGAATAGAGCACTGGTATGAGGAGAGCACTGGTAGTGAGAGCATCGTATGGAGGAGAGAGAGAAGGAGAGAGAGAAGGAGAGAGAGAAGGAGAGAGAGAAGGAGAGAGTGAATACAAAAGTCACTCACAATAATAAGATTAATGCGATCTCCTATTGTAGGGCACATACAGAGAGATAGGGAGGGATGGGGAGAGAGATGGAGAGAGTTTTGGTCAAAAGTTTAGGCACTGATAGTGAGCACAGAGAATGCTTTTTGTTTCGATAAAAGCACTCAAAAAGAGACTCACAAACAATGAGTTAGCGTTTGAGTGAAATAGTGGGCCCACATCTCCAATGCCTTTTGTTCAACTCATCCCCCATTATATTAAGCATTAGTAGACTTTTGATAGTATTTATAATGCATTCCTCCAAAAAATAGTATATCCTTAGGGAATGACACTTAATAGTAATGGCAGATGAGATGATCAGCTATTTTGAGCCGTTATTTTCTTCACACTTGAAAAATGTTGGAAACACTCATAAGAGCGAGAGACTGGAGTTTAGACTCAAAGGTCCCTAAAGTAATAATAATGTGTTTTATGGAATTCAGTGCTAAGAACCGAGAGAGAGAGCGAGAGAGAGAGCGAGAGAGAGAGCGAGAGAGAGAGCGAGAGAGCGAGAGAGAGAGACCCCTTTTTATGCTCAGGGTTAGTTCCACCAAACACTTCACTCTATGTGTTATGGTGTGTGTGTGCAGTGATGTACAGTAGTTTGAAATAAACTATACATTTTTGTGAAGTGAAATAAATTCACGATTTGAAATCAGAGCCATTGGTAATGTTGTGCCATTTCCTTTATAGTCGAATTGAAGGACATCATTAAATATACTCGGATACATTTATCAGTTTTAATATTCTTTGCGATATAAAGCAAGTGTTGAGAGAGAGAGAGAGAGAGAGAGAGAAAAGAGCGATGAAAAGACATTAGAGATGAAAAAATATCACAAATTCCTATAGCATTGGCAATAGTTTTTTCAGCGCACAAATCACTTACACTTCTATGTGTTTATTATACGGTATATAATAAGTGACAAAATGTAATAAATAAGTTTGCCTTCAATTCGACTATAAAGGAAATGGCACAACATTACCAATGGCTCTGATTTCAAATCGTGAATTTATTTCACTTCACAAAAATGTATAGTTTATTTCAAACTACTGTACATCACTGCACACACACCATAACACATAGAGTGAAGTGTTTGGTGGAACTAACCCTGAGCATAAAAAGGGGTCTCTCTCTCTCTCTCTCTCTCTCTCTCTCTCTCTCTCTGCACTTTAGTCTCATAACTAGTGAACTGTTTCTCACTTTCTATTTGATGCTATATTT